TAACAACAGTAATAATACCAAGTAATAGTAATATTCCTGGGACCTGTGAGGAGGACCATCCTTGGGCTCCCCCCCTCCTCTATATAACTAATAATAACAATAATAATAGCAATTCCCGGTCCCCCCCGCGTCTCCCTCACCGGTGAGGGCGGCCATGTGTCGGGCGGGGATGGCCATGAGGGCGGCGCAGGCCTCCCTCTGCTGGGCGACCAGGGGCTTGGTGGGCGCCAGGAAGAGCGCCTTCCCTCCGGGGAACCAGCGGTAGAAGTTGCCCAGCACCACGGCCGCCACCAGGGTCTTGCCCAGCCCGGTGGGCAGGCACAGCAGCGTGTTCTGGAAGAGCGCCGCCCGCGCCGCCCGGGGCCTGGTAGCGCTCCTCGCGCCGCTCCCGCCGGCGCCCGCCGGGAACAGCCACACCGAGCCGCCGCGCCGCCCGCGAAGCCCACCGGAGGGGAGGGCGCCTCCTCCGCGGCTGCTGCTTCTTCGGGCGCCGCGGCCGGCGGCGTCCCCCACACCTGGAAGAGCGTCGCTTGCCGGTCGCCCCGGCCTCCGCCCCTCATGCCGCCGCCGCCTTCCCCTCACGAGCAGCTCCCCTCAGGCAGCGGCGGGCGGAGCAGCCGCCATCTTGAAACGGCCGCTCGGCCGCCCTCAAAAAGCCGCGCCATCACCGGCTGCGCGCCCTGATTGGCCGGAGGGCCGCCTGGGCGGGGTTTCCCCAGAGGCTCACGTGGTGAAGGGGGACCCGGGAGGGCTTTCGCCGAGCGCATGCGCCGAGCGCATCGTGACGCCGTCCGTTTCCCGACCCAGCTTGATTTCAATGAAGCCTCGAAGCCAGAATCTCCCCAGTTCCTTTTTACGCCTGTGCAGTTGCTGGAAAAATTCTGGGATATCCGGTCATTTTAACGATGGTTTAGTACTGTTTCTAATGGTTCTTACATTGCTGTATGCTGATATTTTATGAGATATCAGCGTATCAATCATTTTCTGAAGCAATCAGAGCTTCTGAACTAATGCCCAGTGGCTCCATTTGGTTTGTGATAGGCATATTTATTAATAGACATATTTTCCATGAAGAAATAAAAGCCTCGAAGCGGTTTGCAAGAAAGATAAAGCCATATCAGGAAGGTAATGGACAGCCGTAAGTTGAAGCGGACGGGAGTTTGAAGCGGCAAGAGAGTAGGCTGAAACAAAGTAAAAATCATATGAACTTTCACTCTCTTCTTTTAAAAAAAATCTGTAATAGTTGCTTTTTATTGATTTTCCAACACGACCAAAATCGCACATACCAAATAAAACACACACACACACAAAAACAAATTTCCAAAGAAACCAAGTCTGGGAAGGCAAATCCCCCTCTTTCCTTACTATCTATCAGTAATTTATGTTTTATCTTATCCTATTTTGTTTTGTTTTTGTTTTTGCCTTGCCAGATAAGCAGGGACCAGCATGGTTTCGAATTGGATGGGTGACCAAGGGCTGAAATCCCAGAAGTGCATGGGGCTGGACTAGATGGCCCTTGGGCCCCTTCCATCTCCACCAGTTCTTTGATTCTATGTACTTGGCAGGCACCGAAAAGAGGACAGTGGAGGCACCTGCTTGACATTAATAGGAAGGAGTTCCAGAGTCTAGGTGCTACCTGCCAGACTGAATTATCGAGTTTTTACAAATCATCACAGAATTTTGTTTCCCACTTGGGTACCGAAAGGTGCAGCTAACCAGTGAAATAAAAAATCTAAGGTCTTATATATATAATAAATGTTCATAAATGTACCAAGCAAACACGTACATAAATATATAAACCACATGTCTGAAGCAGCACAGGAAAGCAGCCCTGGAACCATTTTGACTCCCAAACTGACCAAATGATTTTTCTGCAAGGTCAAGGAAAATGGAAAAACCTCCCCATTGTCTTTTTATTCACAAATCATGTCTTAAGGGTATGTCTGTGTATGAATAGGGTGAGCCTGTGACCTGGCTCAGGAACTAAGTATTTGTCATTACAAAAGACTGGCCAGGCTCCCCAGGGGATCCAATCAAGTAAGCATTAACCGATAACCTGCCAGACAGCAGATAAACAATGACAGGAGATAAAAAAGGCACTCAGATTTCTGCTGTAGACTGCCCTTTCTGTGATGTACGTAGGTATGAGTTTTCTGGGGGTGGTCTTGATCTACAGGGTGGCAATTTCAAAAGTCTTTATAAGGCCTTGCACGCCATTTTTCTGGGTCCCTCCTCTCTCCTGCGGGTGCAACAGATCAATAAAGATCAAGCTTACTAGCTGTTTTGCTTCTCAAATATTCTCTGGTTGGCCTCTGTTATTCTCTCCTACCAATAGGGAACCTATGTAAGGACTCTATATGGGCTCTTGGATACCCCATAAGGGAAAAGGGCAAAAGCACCAATATTGGAAGATTGGGTAGCTGCAATATGGGAAGTGGTCAAAAGGATGAAAATGAGAGACGCAATGAGGAGAGAGAATTCCTTCTTCAAGAATCAGTGGGTTGGTTTGTTTGCTTTACAAAAGGCTTGGGACAAGAGAAAGGTCTCTGAGTTCAAGCCACTGTCTCTAGTGTGACAGAGACATGGAGCAATGAAAGACTAACCAACAGCCCCCTATAAATTTCCCTGCAAACTGATGTCCTGGTTTGCTGTGCATCCACAGCATCTCGTTAAGGACCAATTTGTCATTGTTTTTGGATCATTGAATCCCCCGAAGACATGAGTACTTTCCCTCAACGAGCCACAGGACCTATGTACACAGGGCACCAAAACCACAATGTCAGCCTGCTGGTATAATGAGAGAGGCATCCGATCTCTACTTCACGTAATTCCCAAAACTGGGATGACTCGCAATTCATAAGTTCATGGAGGAGTGGCTCATTATTATTTTTCTTGTGAAACTGATCCCTTCTCCACAAATGCACTGGGACAGACCTGTGTGGTCTATATTACTCCATATCCTGTCTGAGGGGGTGGCAGTTCTTTCGCATCAGAAGATAGGGCTAGGTGGTCCAGGGAAGATATTATTATTATTATTATTATTATTATTATTATTATTATTATTATTTATTACTTATATCCCGCCCATCCGGCTGGGTTTCCCCAGCCACTCTGGGCGGCTTCCAACAAGAGATTTAAAATACAGTGGTACCTCTGGTTACGAACTTAATTAGTTCTGCAGGTCTGTTCTTAACCTGAAACCATTCTTAACCTGAGGTACCATTTTAGCTAATGGGGCTTCCTGCTGCCGCACAATTTTGATTCTCATCCTGAGGTAAAGTTCTTAACCTGAGGTACTACTTCTGGGTTAGCGGAGTCTGTAACCCGAAGTGTTTGTAACCCGAGGTACCACTGTACATTAAAACATCAGTCATTAAAAGCTTCCCTAAACAGGGCTGCCTTCAGATGTCTTCTAAAAGTCAGATAACAGTGGTACCTTGGGTTACATACGCTTCAGGTTACAGATGCTTCAGGTTACAGACTCCGCTAACCCAGAAATAGTACCTCAGGTTAAGAACTTTGCTTCAGGATGAGAACAGAAATTGTGCGGCAGCAGCACGGCTGCAGCAGGAGGCCCCATTAGCTAAAGTGGTGCTTCAGGTTGAGAACAGTTTCAGGTTAAGTATGGACCTCCGGAACGAATTAAGTACATAACCAGAGGTACCACTGTAGTTGTTTATTTCCTTGACATCGGATGGGAGCACATTCCACAGGGCAGGCGCCACTACCGAGAAGGCCCTCTGCCTGGTTCCCTGCAACCTCACTTCTCACAGGGAGGGAACCGCCAGAAGGCCCTCGGCGCTGGACCTCAGTGTCCGGGCAGTGGAGACGCTCCTTCAGATGAAACCTGGCTAATGGCAGGGGCCCCATCTAGGGGTGGGTGGGGAGTGAGGCCCCTCCCAATATTTTCAAGGAGGGGGCCAACCCCCCCTTGCCCTAAATTCCACGGCAATCCTCAAAAAGATGTGCCAGGATGAAGCATCTTTGCCCAGGCATGTCCCTGTGACGATCGCCAGGCTGCCTTCTGGGAATGTTTTAAATCATTATAGTGTCTTCTGATACGTGACCAGCTGATGGAAATTCAGAAGCCTCTCTTTTGTAGTTTTTTCCTAATGTTTCTCTGTTTCTTCTTTCTTTTCTCTCTTTTCTCTCTTTATCTCCTTTTCTTTCTTTATCTTGTTTTGTATCTTAGACAGCTGTAATATCATTGCATTATGGGGAGAGCTCCATAAAATTCAAGAAAGAAAGAAAGAAAGAAAGAAAGAAAGAAGAAAGAAAAAGAAAGAAAGAAAGAAAGAAAGAAATTTGCCTTGTCCAGGATTCTAGCCAGCCAGCCAGATATGCCCTTCCTCCTGTTGTAAACAAAAATTGCCCTTTTCCCTTATGGGGTATCCAAGAGCCCATATAGAGTCCTTACATAGGTTCCCTATTGTCAGGAGAAAATGACAGAGGCCAACCAGATAATATTGAGAAGCAAGCAGCTAGTAAGCTTGATCTTTATTGATCTGTTGCAACAGGGTGCTCCCCTCACCCGTAGGAGAGGAGGAGGGACCCCAAAAAATGGCGTGCAAGGCCTTATAAAGACTTTTGAAATTGCCACCCTGTAGATCAAGACCACCCCCAGAAACATCATACATACATCACAGAAGGGGTGTAACCTAAGGCCACCCCTCAGATACATCACACCTACATCACAGAAAAGGCGGTCTAAAACAGAAATTTTGAATGTTGTTTATCTCCTGTCTGGCAGGTTACTTGATTGGATTTCTTGGGGAGCCTGGCCATTCTTTTGTAGTGATAAATACTTAGTTCCTGGGCCAGGTCACAGGCTCACACCCTATTCATATCTTAAATGTGCCCTTAAGACAGGATTTGTGAAGAAAAAACAATGGGAGGTTTCCCACTTTGACCTTGCAGAGAAAACATTTGCTCAGTTTAGGAATCAAA